TATAGGACGTTCTCTCCTGTTCCTAGACCTTATATACATCAGAATTAATGAGAGTGAATATAACAAACAAACCTTGGTTTTTACAAGTATAATCTGTGCTTATTAATATTATCTTATCTATCAATATATAAAATTGTTACACGACCATCTAGATCTTATATACATTAGAATTAATGAGAATGAATATATAACAATCAAACCTTGGTTTTTACAAGTATAATCTGTGCATATTATTAATATTATTTATTAAATATGTAAATAAAAGTCCTTCTAAATTGTTATACTTGATGAATGTTTTATCAATTATTTATAGTTATATAGCAGTTGATTGAAGTGTTAAAAGCAAGATCTATTAAGCTTGCAAAGTGGTATTATATATATACAGTCAAAGCTCTCTATAATGAACCCCTGGACTGAGAATTTTGGTTCGTTATAGAGAGTGTTCACTATAAAGAATTGATGATCATCTCATTTTATGATCACGTGATTGTGTTTTGAATAATTTATTGGCCAATAAAAATTTTTGTTAAAATAATTAATAAATGTTTATTTAGCATAGTGGAAGTTCTTTGTTACACAATGTTATGCAGAACCCGTTGCTCTTGAAACTTTTCCAGTATATATATAGTTGTTACTTTTTATTGCCAGAATGTTTGCTGGGTATTTTAAAGTTACATTGCACAATATAAAAAATTTGTGTAACATTCCAAATTTCCACTATGCTTGTTTATGTTACATGGGAGTTCATTATAGAGCCATATGGGCTAATCTGACTCATTTCACTAATTAAATTTTGGTGATAACAATGGATTTGATCTGCAGCACAGATCAATATTTGTATAGAATCAAAATTCATCCAATAATAAACATGATTTTATCTAAATTTCTTGCTTGAAAATATGCTCAGAATCAGTTTAGAATAAGTTTTGAAATCAGTTGAGTAAGTATCAACATAACTCGTTTTCATTTACATAACTGAAATTTACTTATACATGATTATAATGATAAGGTTTTGAAATGGCTGAAGCCAATCAAAGCATATTTTCAAATAGACATATAATGGTAACTCAAGATGCAACTGATTTAGAAGGTATTTATTTATATGTATAATAAATTCTTTGAAATATTCTTTTAATAAGTTTTTTAACAAAAAGTCAATTTTTATTATTATAGTAATTCAAAATGGAGATAATACAGAAGGTATTTTATAAGTTTAAATTTATATAAATATTAGGTATTTATTTATATATATATTTGAAATATTTTTTTAATAAGTTTTTTAATGAAAAGTCAATTTTTATTATTATAGGAATTCAAAATGGAGATAATACAGAAGGTATTTTATAAGTTTAAATTTATACAAATATTTAGAACAAATTTCTACTATAATATATTAATTGATATTTAATTATTAGAAAATTTTTCTAGTAGGATTTTTGTCCACAACTATCCAAACAGTTCAATAATTGAAGCACGTTATGAGTCAAATGGAAATTGTTATTATTCATATTATAATGTTATTTCTTTAGGAACTTATCCAACCAATCCAAAATTGACTCAAAAAAATAAATACAATAAAGTACAATACCCTATACCTGATAATTATATAATTGAAACAGAAGTTGCTAATTGTAGTACTAGATGTGAAACTAAATATGAATCATTTTCAAAAGTATGTTTTAAAATTAGTTGGAACAAAGGATGTACAGAATGGAATACTTATAGTACAAAAACTTCCTCAGCAGCTGTCAGTTCATTTTTACAGGTATTTTGTAAAATATTTTGTTAAATTATATGATTAAACATTTTGAAATATTATTCATGTTTATATTTACTTTATTAGATGATTGGTTGGAAAAAGTGTTCTAGACTTTCTGGACCTCGAGTATTTGGTTTTGATATTAAACCATTACATGATGCTTGTTTACAAGTTGATTTTAGCTTTTTAAACAACAACAATAAAACTAAAAGAAAAAAACCTCTTGATGAAATTACTTCTAATTCTCAACAAAACAAATGATTCAATAGTTTTGGAAAAGATGCTTATGATAACATCAATAAGATAATTACTAAACATAGATTAACTAATTCAACAGATCAACAAATTGTATATGTTTGTAACATTGAGCTTGAATATAATGGAAATCAAGTTTTTATTAAATTTAATTCAACAACTAATCAAGCCAGGCTTGATGCAGTGGTTTGTGCATGTGATAAAGCATTACTAGGTCGTGATGGATATCGTGATTTAGCTGCTGTTGTTCCTAATATTTATCGTGAATATTTAGTAGCAGAAAGAAGAAATGAAATTAATGAAATTATAAATTCTCAGATTCATATAAAAACATTCAATACTAATAATGAATCATGTGAACAATATACAGATGAAGATGATTTTGATAAAATAAATAGTAATATTTTGGTTGAAGATGTAGAAGTAGGAAATGGAGTTTTTCGTTCCATTTCAACTTTACTTAAAGTATTGATACCATTTTGGAAATCAGGTGAAAAACCAGTAATTACTGTAGGTGATACACTTCATATAAAACTTGGTGGTGATGGCAGGAATGTGGGAAGAAAAAAGAATCATGTGTTGTTGACTTTTTGTTTATTAAATGAAGGTAATGAAGTACTAAAACCAGAACATCAATTCAGGTACATTATATATATATACTGTATATATATATATATTATTTCTAATGAAACAAAATTAGATTAACCAATTTATTAAATTTATTGTTAGTATATGTCTTTATATAGGCAAAGAAAAATATGAAACATTAGCAACAGTTTGTAAAATATTTGATTCACAAATAACTTCTCTTAAAGCTCATGGTATTATTGATAATGACAATATACACTGGCCAGTTGAATTTTACTTCTCTGGTGATTGGAAATTTGCATCAATTATTATGGGTTTAAATGCACCAAATTCAACATATTTCTGCTTATATTGTGAGTGTAATTCCAAGACCAGATATAATATGGATCTTTCTTGGCCAATTACAGGAAATAATAAAGGCAAAATCATATTTTGTGGTTTTTTTTTCTTATTTATGGAAAATAAAATATAATAATTTATTTATATTTATATAATCAGGGAAGAAAAATCCTTCATTGTTCACTTCAATTGAATTACTTAATTATGTACCTGATGAACTACATATTTTATTGCGAATAACAGATGTATTAATGGAGTGTTTGTTCAAAGATCTGTTTAAAAAAAACAATTTTGAAAGAGAATTAAAAAAAAAAATAGAGAAAAAAATGAGTCATATAAATGTTCATTTTGAGTTTTATCATAGTAATAATAATAGAAGTGCTTCTTGGACTTGGACATCTTTAATGGGACCTGAAAAAAAGAAAATTCTTCAGAGTTTTCCTGTGAGTGAATTTGTGACTGGAAGTCATGGAATTGCTATAGAAAATTTATGGTGTCAATTTTTTAATTTGTATGAAATGTTAAGGAAACCATCATACAACGAAGAAGATATAATCAAATTTGAACTTGAAGCCAAGAACTGAGTGAGATCTTTTTGTCAACCTACATTAGGCATAATAAATTCTACATCAGCAATTCCAGGGCTTTATAGAAAGGAGGATGTTACTCCATATATGCATATTCTTACAATGCATGTGCCTTTTTTTTTGCGTAAATTAAATAACCAAGGTCTTTCATTTAGATTATTTTCAACAAGTAGCATTGAAAAAAAAAATCATGAACAAGTATATATTTCATTTTTAAAATTGTAGCTTTTAGACTCTTTAATAATATTTTTTTTAATAATTCTTTTATAATATTTTTTTACCAATTTTATCAGGTCAAGTTGTTTTTTGGTGGCACTACAATGGGAGGTGGTAACAAAACAAAGCCTGTTGTTTATGATATGATGGTATTTGAAAATAGGCAAATATTTTATTTGCTTAATAAAGTTCCAAAAGAAATTACATGTAAAAATATCACTATATCTAATGATTAAAAAAAATTTAATAAAATTAAATTTTGTTTAGAATTATTAGAGGTTTGAATGTTTTGATTTTCAATAGTACATAAAGGAAAACATGGTAAAGTATCTTTATGTTGTGACTTTGTGATGGTTGATGGCTGATTATATGAATGAACAGTAACTGGTTGGAAATATGCATTATATATTTTATGTAATTCATGATTATGGTTGATTGATTGATTGTTGGATGATGATATAGCAAAATTTTCTTGACTAAGAAAAAAATTTTTTAAAATTGTTTAAATTGAATTAAATAAAATTTTTTATAATTATAATATTGAATATTTACTCATTTATGAATTCTCCTGAATTACAAATAAAACTTATTGAAAAAGAACCAGATAAAAAAAGGGCCAAGTTATCTCTAAGTTCTTTTTGCTTCCAATTTAGTTTAATTTTGTATTTTCCATCAATGTCTTCAAGTAACACATATCCAATAGTTTGAGTATTTGTATTCATTTTGGAAATTAATTGATCATAGCCAAAGATGCTTTTCAATCTTTCACCACCTGCTACACCTTCTAAAATACATTGATTTACGCTGACTTGGAAAATATACAAAATTTTCCTCTTTTTCAAAAAAAAACAAGAAAACATTTTCTGGAAATGGTTCAATTTTTATGTGTTTTTTTCCAATTGAATGTCTGGTAAATCCAAGACTTTCTTTCATTTGTATTATTATTGAGTCCCAAAAAAATGACACCAATTCATTTGAAGGTTGAGAAAGTAGTTGATGATGAGGAATATATTTATTATTATTATGCTTAAGGTGTTCATGGTTCTTTAGTTTTCTAATATTATCATATGTTTTAGAGCAAAGCAGGCAACGAAAAAATTGTGTTGTATTATTATTTTCCATGATAAATAATTCTATTTTCTAATGTCTGTAAAAACAGTATATTTTTATTATTATTATTATTATTATATATTATTATGTGCTGATCTGCAAGTGACATAATCAAGGGATTTAATCTTTTTGTGTGACATAATTGAGATGAGTCAGATTAGCCCATATCAGTCAGTGTGCAAATCCTTTCTCTTTTTTTTTAATTAGTGCGTGTAACATTCACTTGAATGCCAAAAATTTCTTTTAACATTTATAACACATAAACTTCTTAATAGATTAAAAAAATGATATATATAAAA